AAAAATTATTTAAAAGTCAGATAAAATGATTTTCTCAATTTTTTTTTCACATTTTGTCTCTCATAGTTGAGGTCTACCTATGATGTCAATTACAGGCCTCTCTCATCTTTGTAAGTGGGAGAACTTACAATTGGTGACTGACTAAATACTTATTTTCCCCACTGTACATTTTAATTTCTTTTTTAATTACTTGCCTTTATGATCAACTTGTTATGCAACATAAATGTACTTTCTACACTGAAGGACAGCGTGTTCCCAAGTTTCCATCTTATATTAAAGAGATTTTGGTTAATTTCTGCTGTTTCCTGGGAAACTATTGTTTTACACGATTTTTTTATTTCCTTTTCAACGGCTAATCTGCTCTTTGGGAACAATATTATAGAATTTATTCAAGTCTAAAAACAACTTTAACAAGCTTCAAACCTGAAAACAAACCGAGAACTAAAACACCTTCCACTTTATTACTTCAAGTCAGCCACACCTGTTTGATMCTGGAGTGTGAGAGTCAGATCACAAAGTTACATCCAACTTTTGGAATCTAAAACTTTCACTTCAAATACTGARGCAGTCTAACTTTATTTTAATTACACATTATAATACTGAGTGTATTTTACTGTAAATAACCAACATGTATAGTAAAGGTATCGATTCTTACAAAAATCAAATATAACAAACTTATATAGCAGAAACATATTTGTACCTTCTGGTTGTAGAGATCTTCCCCTTTTCACAGTCGTTTGTGTTATTTCTCTTTAATTCTCAAAGTTAGTGTGAACGTACTTCCTTATGGATTTCCTCTTCTCTGTCTTAAGTTTCATTTCTGTTCAGAAGTCCAATCAGACACCTCCTTTATTTCAAGAGGGAGGCTGGCACACAGCTGAGCAACCAAATCATCCGTGTGCACGCTGCAGGGCAACTCACATGTTGAGCAACAGATTAATAATGCATCTGCCAGGAGGGGTGGACTGGAGACAGAGTGTGGTTGTTTGTAGAGTTTCATTTTGGAGGAAAAAATAAATAAAAGAAAGAAAACTTAAAAAACATTTATTTCATGACACATAACAGTGCATCATCTTGATTTTTTTATTCATCATAAAAGAAAAAGATTAAAATAAATCATGTCACACATCCACATATATAAGTTACATTCAAATATCTCTAGCTTCCTTAGTCTTTAAATTTAACAATTATATCTCACTGATGTTTTCGTTTTTAATTAGACTTCTGGACATATTAAAAAAAACATTTTCACAGTTACATGCAAAACAGAAACTTGTCAAAACAAAGCTTTGATATCTTTAAAATGTACCCAAAATGCTTTCTGGTGAAGAATTAAGACAAAAAATTAAAYGTTATTCAGCTAGTAAATATAAAAYTTCAGGCTGCAGATGGTTAGCTTATCCTGGTTTAAAACCAGAGACCCTGAGAAACAGCCAGACCACCTTTGTCTCACATAACAAAATAAAAGACTTTTCTTTAAAAAAGATTTGTAGAACCACAGAATAATTGTTTCCTGAACAGCTTCCTCTAGTGGCTGTGAAAATAACTTCATGGTTAATAAAGTGACAGTACAAAAATGGCTTTCTTTCCCCACCCACCCAACCAAGTAAATTATGTAAACC